GAATCACACTAGATATATTTATAAAGCAAAGCATTAATTAAAGCAACCACTAATGGGCATGAATTGAGTATAAAAGCTTTTAGGTAATTCTATCTTCGAAGTCATTTTTAAACAATTGAGTCGAGGCTCATTTCATATTCTTTATCGCATCTTCTCAAATCATTTACACTACTAGACACAATCATAACTTAAATTGTTGGCACGTTGGCCACACTCTATATCCCCAATTAACTTATTTCACTTCCAACCATCTTTATAGATTATCAACAATAAGACATTTCCAAATCAAGTCTTTAGGTATACATATGAGCAATTAAGAGTCTTAAGAATATTGATCCATAACCTTTTAATACGCAACCCATACTTTGAAACTTACGAAAATATTATGGGATTCAATTCCAAGAGAGAAAGTTTAGCCAACATACCTCACTCGAGCTTCCTTAACTCTAGAATGATCCGGGATGCTTAGCAATCCAGATCTATTTTGATACATAACAAAATTGAACCATAATTAGGAAGATATTCGTACTCTCAGCCCATTTGAGTATTTTATCAGACACTAGGTGTGAAAATTTAACCACAAGGTTCTTCTTCAAGATTTCCTTCAATCCACAACCCAATCCTTACTTATTTCAGCTCAACAATCTTCCCACAATTATTATTGGTACATGCATGTATAAATAATAATCTCATACCCATGAATCATACTCCTAATCAACCATCTTTTACCCAAATTCGAAATTGAAAACTAGGGTATGGAACTTTATCTCTTAGATGAAGAACTTGTGGGTTTTCCTTGTTAATCTTCCAATATTTGAGCAATACTTGATGAATAATTAGCCTAGGGTTTCCTCTCTCTCTAAAACACTCTCCCTTCTCTCTAAAACATGAGAATATTTGCTCAAAAATGACCCTTTGCGTGTATTTAACGAAGTAGGGTCGGGTTGTAAGAACCAAAAAATGGAGTTCCGGAACAGGTTTTGCGGTCGCATATGCGACCACATAATGGATATGCGGACCGCATATCAGTCCCATAATTATAGAACAAAACGATCAAAAATTTGTCCATGTATGCGGTCCACATAATTGTTATGCGATCGCATAATGCACCGCATAACAGTTATGCGGTCGCATAGTCGACCGCATAATTGCCCCCAAACTGGCCCTTCTCCTACTCACTTCTTTGGCCATTATGCGGCCCACAGAGTGGTTCTACGGTCGCATAATGAACCGCAAAAATGTGAAGTCACTTTTCGGTGCATTGTTCAACCCAAAAAGTCCGAAGATTTTATACCATCCTCAAACACGTAAGCCTACTCCGACACCACGAAACCTTGAATTCACTTGCAAAATTTACTTCCCCCTTGGAATATTTAGCATAAAATGACATTAATGAATGTCATCGGTCGAGCTCGCCTAAACCATAGCGAGATTAATGGTCGCGGTGTCGATATAAGCGGTGGTCGAGATATCAATAGAGATCGCAGTCAAAATGTCACAAGGGTCGAGGTAGAGATCGATTATTAGTGATAAGACTTGTAATGGCTAATTTATCATAATCAGGATAAGAGATAGAAAATGAGAGTTCATCCCACAGCTTTTTGATCCTATTGAAATAGGAGGAAATGCTGGATGTTCCTTGAGAAACAAATGAGATTTCCTTTCGAATCTGATATATCTTGATACCACTGGCCTATCCAAAGCCTTTTTCAATTTTATTCCACAACCTTTCAACAGATTCAGTGTACATAACAGTTTACCTAATCTCTCGATCGAAACTACTGAGTATCTAAGCGACTACCATATCGTTAAATCTGGTCCAAGGCTCAAATAGAGAGGAAGAAAGGCTAGGTTTCAGAAGTGTACCTTTAATCATCCCTAATTTTTTCTTAAAAGATAAACCTAGTAACATGACCCTTCGCCAGCTCCCATAACCAGTACCATCAAATGTGGTAGAAACCAACACCGTACCTGTAACGACCCGGTCAGTCGTTTTGAGTGTATTAGCCTCGATCCTCTATTTACTATTTTTCCCGTATCTGTTTCTGCTTATGTGACTTGCCGCGAGGTCTTGTTTTTGGTTTCGGATTATTTACTCCCGCAATTATATTTATTATTTTTATATTTTAGAACTTGCTTAAACATGCTATATAAAAAAATAATTCCTTTTTTGATCAATAATTAATAATTATATTATTTGTATATCACAGTGTATAATATAATAATAATGTGTATATCAAAAACATTTATTAAAATTTTATTTTCCTTCTTTGTATAACACATTTCATATTGAAAACTCAAGTTCAAGACGACTCCACATGTGTATACCCTATTGTAACCCGTGTATATCTCTATGCACATCAGTGATATCTCATGTATATTATGTGTGTCTGTATATCCATGAAAATTTGTGTTATATATACGATATACAATGTGATATACACGGGCGTCCATAAAAAAAATTATGTTATATACACGATATACAAAGTGAGATACCCAGACGTCCTAAAAACTTGTGTGTGATATTCACTGATGTACACGATATACAACGTGATATACACATGTCGCAGTTGGATTTTTAGGTCTGATTTTTTTACCTGAAACCAGGCTAAATCACTTCTAATCTTGCTCAAATTTTGTATATAGCCTTGTTTAGGCATTGTCAACCAATTTCATTCACACCCACTCATTCAATCCAAACAAAAAAAAGGAAGAGAGAAGAAAAACGAAGTTGAAATATATTTTTTCTCTCTTAGTTTTTGCTAATCTTGCTCGAATTTTGTATATAGCCTCGTTTAGGTATTTTCAACTAATTTCAATCACCCCACTCATTCAATCCAACCAAAAAAAGAAGAGAGAAGAAAAACAAAGTTGAAATATATATTTTTTTCTCTTAGTTTTTGCTTCTGATTTTCTCTGATGTGAGATCAGCCTTACCTTTTCATCCCACTGATTTTTGTTGCATAATTTGCAAGAATTTTTGCTAAACTATAAGAGAAAAGAGAAGAGATAGAGAAGAAATACAAGGATAGAAAAGGGGTGAGAAGCCAAAATAAGTGTGTAGTTTTTTTTTAGAGAATATAAAAGAGAGTAGGTTTTTTAAGATTTGGCTATATAATGCCAATTGTTTGGGGCTATCTTTGCCAAACCTAATATAAGGCTAAAAAATTGCCAATTTCTGTTATATGTTGTTATAGAATGCCAATTTTTCAATCTTAAATCTGGTTTGTTATTTTTATAAGTTTGATTTGTCCATACTATTGTTCAAGAATGAGAGAAATATAACAAAAAATAAGCTTACCTGGATAGCTACAAGAAATCCGACGACAACGAAAACTGATGGAGCACCACTGGCACAAGCATATCAATGGCAATAGAGGGGCACAATTGAAGCTTGAAGAACCCTAGAGACAACTTAGAATAAAATGGTAAGTTTTGTTAGAGTTAAAAGTTTTGAGGAATGGGAAATTAGGAATAACCGATTGGGTTACTTATTTGGGTTGGGTCTTTGATGGACTTCAAAATTAGGCCTATATTATTACCTATGGGCTTAGCCTATATATAACTTAAAGAATCTATCTGCTAATAATTCGATTTTTCGGTTAACCGAACCAAATAAATTAATAGCCGATAACCGAACCGAAAAACTAAATTTTTAAAATTTTAAACTGAAACCGACCGAAAAAACTGAATAAGTATTAAAGGTGTTAGTTAGTATGCCCACCCCTACTCGGACCCGATAATTATATCACAATAGTCATTATTTGTATATCCTTAACTCAATCATAGGTCAAAGATCAAACAAGTGGACATAAAGAATCGTCCAAAAAATCCCACTTTTTTGGATTCTTATACCTAAATTGGGAAATTATTTTATACATATATATTAAATTTTGAATACTTTCTGAGAAATTTCTTGCAATAGAAAGAATGAAATGCATGCATATCACCCTAAATAACGACGATTCCCATTCTTTATCCTCGTGTAGTTGACAAAACTCAAAAGGAATCATATTCCTTCTTGTTAACGTCATAAGAAATGCCTTCTTGCGGGGTCCTATCAAAAGAACATTTCTGCCAAGCAATAACCAATAGTATAACATATTTTACTCAAGAAATAGTGCTGTCTAGGCAACTTAAGAAAATCCTTATCTAAACACAATCCAATTTCATTCTAGTTGAGCTACCATCAACGATCTAATCAAATTTCTTTGAAAATAATGAAAGAGGAAAAAAGAGAACTTTGAGAATCCATGATTAATGCAATAGAACCTTTAATTTTGATGGTGAAACATCATACCTTGAATGATTTGAATGTCTTATCACCTGAAGAGCTGCAATAATAAGTTGAACACAATTTGCCGTATACTGTCTGCATAAAATGAGGCAAGAAATGAAAGAAACTTCACCCTGAATCATTAATTCTTTACAGTGCTAGTAAACAACATAATCTGGAAATCAATTCTTTTTCTCTAAAATAAACAAGGGGAATCAACATTGTGAGAACTCCATAAGAGCATCTTGTACTGATTTGGACTCATATCTTAATGGCCTTCATCCATGGGATCACTTCTGTTACACGTTTGAGATCTTACATCCTTCTCATCCTGCCTTGACTCGTTGGATCCTGATGCACCGGAAACAGAATCTTCCAGTGCCTCAAGAAAAGATGGGACCGTTAACTTATCTGCACAAATTATACATAAACAATAACCAATTTCAACACTCAAAACAGCACTGACAGTTTGATAGTCCCAGCATGATTCAGTGCATCAGAAATGACTTAGAAACAAAGTTCTGGTACTAAATCAGCAACGACCAGTTGAAATGCTAAATCAGAGGTATGACCAGCGGGACCTAAGATAAATTGAGTTACACTCACATGAACCGGAGCTCAAGGTGCCAAAAGGCAAAGGTTTGATACTTCACCCACTTTGCAATGATAAAGAAATTGAGTATGGCAGGGTAAAGTAATGGCTTAAAATTTACAATATTGAACTTTCGTATTATATCACATCATATACGGGTCATCCCAGATTAAAATCAGTTTATATTAGTATAAATTGATGGGGGGAGAGCAATCTTCCATTTAAGGAAAAAGTTCAATCTTTTTAAGGACGGAGCCAAAAAAGGAGAGGAAGTCAAAAGTATTTCGGCTCAGAGGGAAGAGTAAACATCATCCACAAGCAAACACAATTTAACAGAGATGACAAGGGAGTAGATGAAAACTCGATCATTTGGAAAAATTAAGTAGTTATTGGAAATTAATCTATTAGTGTTTCATTCCTTTTAGCTACCGAGATGACTAACAACTCAATGCTTGCTTACATTGACTGGGATCAATTCCAAACTGAGTCAGATCTATTTGTCCAGTTCGAAGAACCTGCAGTGAGAAGAGAGTCAAATTACAAACACAACCTGCAAGCAATACCTAAAAAGCTGAAGCGGCAGGACAGAGAATTTGATCACTCACATAAGTAAACGAGTCTAGTTGCTGGCGGAATGGGGGACTCTGCAGCAACTCCAATAATTCATGTGGTGTCCAATGGCCCTGCAAACATGACAATTTTCAAGATAATGTCACCAGTGCAATTCTTGTAGTTTGGGAAAACAGTGGAGCCAAATTTTTACCTCAGGCAAGTGTGAAGCTAGTTCTCCTTCTAGTGGTATTTCTTCAATCAGTGGTAATATGAGCTCAGGCCTCAAAATATCTCCCAATCCCAATCCTGGTACAGCAGCAAGATAAGTTAAAAACAATGGTGTATATGCTATATTGTTCGCATTACATAAACGACCAGATTGGGCTTGATTCAAGTGAAAAGTATTGTTGTACTCGTACTCACTTGGCATTAAAATTTCTAGATGATGTTCTCCAATTGCAAGGAATAAAAAGAAGAAAAAAAGAGGTAAAGGAGAACCCTCATAAGAAAAATAGAAGGCAGCAAACGAAGCAGATTATACATCAAGCTTTAATTCCTGTATACCAAAAAATTGCTAAATATTCTTCACTCTAATTTTAATCAACATCTCAACAACAGTTTAACTGCGTCAAAATCCTTTTAACTTAAAAATAGTGAATTACAGTATGCCGTCACCAAACATCAAAATGCTCAAACAAATTATGAGTCAACCAAATGCCTACCTGCATCAGGATCTACAGCCTCATCTGCATCAACCATAAGAAATAACATTATGTCCAAATGGAGATTAAATGATAGAGATTGTTAAACATAACAAAATTGAAGGAAAGCAGTCAACTAAACCTGTGGATCCTATGTTACTCAATATTCTTTGAAGATCAGCCAACTTTACAGGACCCGAAGACGTTACATCACTACTTGCTTCAGTATTCATGCTTGCACTAACCAAATTTCCCGCCCTGAAAGAGCTCAGCCAGATATTTAAATATTTCCAGCCTCCAGCAATTTCATAGAGATAAAGATAGTCGTGTACTACTACTTAAAAGGAACACCAAAAGGAAAACAAATCAATCAATTAATTAACTATGCCTCTTGCAGGCCTTCGGAGCCGGTAATCTGTTCGGCCTAAGATTGAAGCAGCATAGTCAGTGAGGAATAATATAGCCGACCCAACTTGCTAGGATTGAGTCGTAGTTGTTGGTGCTGTCTCAACCTCGAACTAGTCGCTTGTGTTCTTAAGTAAATGTGAAGTGAGACAAACCCATTTGCATGAGTCCTTCAAAATCTTTGTTAGCATATAAATCTTCCCAATATTTGTAGCAAGATGCAACTTCAAAAACAGATCGTATACTGCTCAACTATATTAGCATTACCTCGATGAAATATCTTCCTCTACCATATCTTCAGAATTTTGTAATGGAGCTGAAGCTTCAGGCTCATCTTCACCAGGGAACTCTATTCAAACAAGTTCAAAATATACCAAAGTTAAAACAGGTATGTTAAATAATCTTCATTCTTTGGGGAATAATAAAAGTTATACAGATAAAAAAAGTCAATTAACGTCATCCAAATGTAGGTACTATAACAATATATTAGAGTGCATTCCCCAAATTAGAATTCCATTTCCATCCCCTTTAGGTTGTTACAACGAGTACTACACCTCAACCCTAAACTAGCCCCCTTAAAGTTCTTAAAGGTAAAAGATTCACACTTGACACATAATAAATCGAAAATGTTAAGAGCCAAACATCATGACACTTGATGAATAATATTTTCATGAATTGGTATCAATCAAACAATTTAAAATTTTTTTTAAAAAAAAAAAAAAAGAACCAAACAACATGAAACACACACAAAGCTCAGGAAGAGCCTGCCACACTGCAAGTGCATGACGCATTCGAGTCTGCAAGATCAAAATAGGCAGACAGGAAAGAAGGAAACTTAAGGCAGAGAGACATTGGCCTGATATCTTGAAAACTCTTAATATTTGCTGCGCTTATCCTCGTATAATCATAAATTAAGTTGGTGGAAGATGTATTATTCTTTTTCCAAATCAACTTTCAAGAAATTAAACTTTAAAAAGGAGATAAAGCAAAATTAAAAGGGAAAAAATAGTAAGAATAAACCAACAAAAACAGGAATAAATCTTGACTACCAAGTGGTTGATTCAAGTGGAAGTTGACTGAGCTACATATCTGTGCATCATTGTCAGCTGCTGGCTCCTGCACAAAATGAAAGGATAAATTATCACAATGCATGTTCTTGTAACTCAAAAGCATACAGAAATATCCATGGCAACAGAAGTGACCTGTATCCAAAAGAAAAACTTTCTATCGTCGGTACAGAACTTCAAGATGTAGACCCTTCCAGATGATTGATTGACCTGAAGAGATTCAGACAACAACGGATTAATAGCAGAGATTAATTAATGTGAGAACCTCTGAATGACAAATTTAAGGAAAAATATTTAAATAGGAGGAACGTTTGGATCTCCTGTAAGTAAATAATGAATAGTTAGATCGAGAGTTAATTCCCATGGTCACCCAACTTACGGGAATATCCTACCAAAGTGTGGTTTGGGACAGCAAAGTCATCCAACTATTGCTTTTTTCTTTAACTCAGAAATAAAGAACACTCATTTGGCATGCCATGTCATATAAAAAATATATTTTTTAATGATAAACCATTTAACCCATGTCCCTTATACCCAATTAACCCACCCAATAAGAAAATCGATCTATATTAAAAAAGATGATCTATTATATTAATGTTCAGAACTTTCCAAAGCAGTGCCAATTATATTCTTTTCAAACTATAATATACTAAAAGATTAGAGTGATTTACAGTTTTACAGTGATTTACAGTCTCTAGAGGCCAGATAATAGTGTGAAAGAGGGTGGTGAAGTCAAAACATTACAAATTACAAAATTAATTACTCATTTCTTAAAAATTTAAAGGTTAAGTAATAACCTATTTTAATTTGACATTCTGTACTGCATGTATACTTCCTATGGAGACACTGGACTCCCAGGTTTGTTTTTAAAATACGGTTTTAAACATAATTCTGAAAAAAGATTCGTGTATTTAGCTTTCGTACACTGATTCTGGATTAAAAACAGAATTTTCATTGCTTTTGGATTTCTATTCTAGATTTCTAAAGCCTCAATTTTTGGATGTAAAAGCACTTGAGTCGAGAACCAAAGTAAAGAGCTTCTACTCTCTTATTTGGTGGGAATACAACAGGAGCAAGCACAGGTATTTAATTACCTCACGGATGTTTCTGAGATTAAAAAGAAGCTAATTTAATGACTTTGAAAAAGTGCAGTAAGTACTTCCTCCGGTCAAAAGATTTGTCTATCTTTGTTGCTTCGATCCTTTTAACAAGAATTTACTTTGTTAAAAACAAGAACTTTGTTATTTTAAAGTAGACCCATTTTCTTATCGGATGGGTTAAATGGGTATAATAGACATTGGTTAAATGGGTTTTATCATTAAAACATATTTTTTAATATGACATAGCATGCCAAATGGGTGTTCTTTATTTTCTTTGGGTGACTTTGTTGTCCCAAACCAAACAAAAGTGACTTTGATAGGTTATTCCCATAAGTTGGGTGACCATTCGGGGAATTAACTCTTAGATAGGCAATCATGTTTAGAGTCACTCATTAGTCGTTAGACAATATTGATTCTGTATTTTGTGAACTTCATCTTAAACATTACAGAAATCTTTTGTTGCAATTGGATAGTTCTTCAGTGATTAAAGTAACAAGCAACGGGTAATAGAAATACCTTCTCAAAAACTGCCTCCTCTGGGAAAACAATCTGATCCTATGATCAACTTTTGTCAAGAAATAACTCTCAGAATTTTATTAATTACTGTGGATAGTACTATTTCCAGAATAAGAGCAATGATCAATAAAATAGAAGTGAAGCAATACCAAAGACAGAATTCACTATGATTTGGCGGGAAAAAGGATACATCTTCGACAATGTTGAGATTACGGTCAAGCCACTGAAAATGGAGTAGTCCCTCGTCACCCTAAAATATAAAAAATGACACCGTAATTTCATAACAGATATTTAGACATTTATAAAGCAACGCCTTTGTAAGATCGCCACCATTTAAGCTAGACGGGGTCAAACTTAGGTTAACAACAAAAATGACAAACCAAATCAAATATGCTTTCTTTTGAATTCCTCATACCCTGCCTATACGAACAAGTCCTTTCCGTGAATCAGGGATAACTTTTTTCCCCTCTATGATCATTTTACCGGCACGAAATTCCATCAAAGTTTCCTGCTCAAAATAATACCAATATATGTCATTTATATCACCAATAAGAACCAATGAAATGTCAAATGAACAGAAAAATATTTACCATTTCATAAGATAGACTACATGTATGCTGCGCTTCTTTTTTGTAATTTTGTTTTCTTTAGAAAGGGGAAAACAATTGAACAATGATACAGGAAAAATTAGCAAAGGTATTCCTATCTTTGACAACTAACAATTTTCATTATGGAGAAAATCAGAAATTCGACATACAAGAGAGTAAGAGAGTTATGCTATAGGAAAGAAGAAAAAAGGGGCAGAGCTCTCTGTGACTGTCATCCAATATGTGCATCTAAATTGGGGATGTTCTGTGTACTCTAAGATGAAGAAAAGGTACTTGCACATTTTCCGTCAAAGAAGTGGCATCCTTGACTCCTTCAAATGTCTTCCTATTCATATCCTTCCATGTGTGGATGGATCACATCTGACAACTTCTCTCTCTTCCTCTTTCCTCCTCCGCTCCAACTGGTTGTAAGCTCCTCGGCACATCTAGGAATAACCTAGCTAAGCATCTTATTCTACAATATGGATGGCCATCATAGTGTATCATAAGGATCCAGTATTTTAGCACAAAAACACCAATTTTATAAAGGATCTGCCTCTTTCCTACATTTTTCTACTGTTAAGTTGGGAATCCAAGACAATCTATACGAAAAATGGTAAGTTAGGAAAGCAAAGTAGCCAGACAGACTCTATGATTAAGTCACACCCCTTCCTCTTCAGAGGAAGATTAACAAGGATTTCACCAAGAACCTGCCCCCTGCACCTCAGTCCACTTCCAATTTTCTGAAAGTCATCTCAAACACTATAACCTTACACAATCATAACAGAAGTTTTTTAAATATCCAAACTCTGCACTCCACTTCTGTCCTCCTCATGACATCCATCCCACCCTTGCACATGCTTATTGAATGATACATGCTCTAACCTGCCTGATGCATCCAACTTCTCCTTACCCTCGCTTAACCGCTGCCGCTCTTTAACAGTCATGATAACTTTCTGAGTTTCTCATAGCTAATGGCATGAATGCCATAGACTTCTCATCTTCCAATACCTGACCACAACTATGAGCAACTTATCATGTTTGATGCCAAAATTGACGTGCACGCTGCTTAAATGAATCACGTAGTGAATTTCAAGACTTCACCAATCTTATTTTGACTAGCATTGCAAAATTTGCAGAATCTATGAGACTGAAAAAACAGCCGAACATAATTATCCCCATGACAAACCAGCTCAAAATTTACATTTTGTACTAAATCTTTTGTTTTCTAATGTATTGGTAATATCTTTCTAACTTAGATACCACAAGCATCACCCCTTTGTTTTCCTAAACAAAAGACCAAAAAGAACGGACAGCCTTTCACTATACTGTACTATGCTTTCTCAAACAAGAATCATATGGGGCTGCTTTTGGATTATTCATTCTTCATCTGGAAAGAGTCTAAAAAGTGATGAATTCAGCTGACTTCATCGTAATTGCTTTTCATCCATATCAACCAAAACAACATACTGGGAAAAGTTACAGGCATCGCTTCCTCCATTGACCTGCTGCTATCAAAACTTGACAATGCAGTAACAGTAAAGCAAAGCATTGCTCAATACAAACCAGTGGTGGAATTAAGAGGCCACAAATAAGCTACTGGCAGTATGCCTTCCTCCTCCACTGGGGTTGGCCTCCCAGACCAAGATAGCAACGATATTACTTCTGCTGGACATCCATATATACTTAAAATGGATGGAGCTGTTTTTTGGAACAATTAAAATCTTAGGAAAGCCGAAAACAGTTAATTATCAAGTTAAAATATTTGCAAACCTTCCTATCACTCCCTTCAACCTTGAGACTTGATTATCAGAAGACAACTGAGGAAGATGCACAACACTAGCTAGCTTCGAATCAGAAAAAACCTTCAAATATTGGCTGAAGGTAAAAGGTGTAAAGCAAGAGAAAGGGCTTTCATTATTTAAAAATGTTTTGAGAATACAATATCATTAAGAAAATAGTGAATTAGATATATTGAAGTGATGGGACATTATGTAGCATTTCCTTAAAGTTAGATAGAATTGAGTTGGTTTGGACCAGCACAAAATCCAAGCAAAGAATCACCAAGACAGTTTAATTAAGTACAAAAGATCATAGAACCGCCAAATAAATAGCCTAGTCTTACTTATCGNCAAAAAATAAAATATTATATATATAACTAAAAACTCAATAGCAATAATATATTAATAAATATATAAATTCAAAAATTAAAAACTCAATAGATAGTCATAGTAGATTCATAAACTAAAAGTCTAACTAGCAACATCTATTCTTCTTCAAGATTTTCAAATTCTTGAATTTCAAGAACGTTAGCATTATATTGGCTATCATCTTCTTCATCTTCGGAGTCTTCATAAAAAAAACAGAGCTTTTCTCGGACTGTTCTGGTGAGTGCAGCAGCAGTGATCAAAAACAAAGCCAGAAAAAAAAAAAAAGGGAAAAAAAACAGAGCAACACAGACTCTGTTCTGTTGCAGCAGCAACGATCAAAAACAGAGCCCAAAACAAAAAGAAAGAAAAAAAAGGAAGAAAAAACAGAGCAACACAGACTCTGTTCTGTTGCAGCACCAGCGATAAAAAACAAAGCCCAAAACAAAAAGAAAGAAGAGAAGAAGAAAGAAGTGCCCTAATCGCAACAGTGTCATCGCAACAGTGCCTTCGCAACAGTGCTTTCTATGGCCGAGCCTCTTCCATCTCTTCTTCTTCCTAATTTTCCACCACACCCATCAAGAGCCAAACTCCCCGCGTCCAAACCCCAGTAAATTTCTCCGGCAACTGAGCCCTCACGCGCCGCCAACTCACCTGTTTTTCCGGCGAGCTTTCAGCCACGCGCCGGCGCGTGTGGCCTTTTCCGGCGACTTTTCAATTTTTTCTCTTCAGACAGCCTCTTCTCGAGGCATTTCCGAGCCATCCCGTGCCAGTTTCACCAAATTCCGACGACTTTTTCTTTTTCCGGCCTTTAAACCCCAGTTTCTGACGATTGTTTCCTTTGTTCAGTACGAGAAAACCTTCCTCCCTTCATATATACTGTTTTCACCCACTGTGAATACTGTTATCCCGACTATTGAGGCTTTTTCCGGCCAGTTTTTCCGGGACAGCCACATTTAGAATATGATGGATTGTACAGAGAAAAACTCTTTTTTCTCTCTAGAATCTAGAAAACTGGAAAACATGTCTTTTATGAAAGCTGTCTCTTGGCCAGCCCTAGAACTTGGGGGAAGATGCCATCGAAAGCTCGACGTAGGACAGGAGCCGCATTTCTCGCTGTCCGAGGAGCACACTCTCAGGCGCAAGGGTTTCTTGGTATCTAGTCTCATTGGGTCTTTCTCCAAATGGGTTGGTTCTCCGAAGGCTGTTAGGAACTGGGCAGCAGAGGCATGGAACGTCAAGGACGGGCTGAAAATATCGCAATTGGGGGACACTCAATATCTCTTTCGTTTTGTTGACAAGTCTCAAGCATCGGAAATTCTTGTCAGAGGAAACAGGTGGTTCGATGGGAACTTTTTAAATCTAGACAGATGGGTGGAGCATGATGGGTGTCTTGACCCTCGCTTCACTGGCGAAACATTGGTGGTCAACATGGTGGGTCTCCCGGTGCATCTTTGGTGTCTTGACCTATTCAAGAAGATAGGGGAAATCTGTGGGGGTTTTATTGATGTCACTTGCAGTTTACACGATCTCTCGCGAGTGAGGATTGTGGTGAGGAAAGGGGGCAGAATCCCTGTCTCCACTGTGGTGGAAGATGGCTACTTGAGTTATAGGGTTTGGTTGAGCCCTGAATTTCGCCCTATCTTTATGCCTGCGATAGCGACGGAAGAAAAGGGAAGGTCAGATATAAGGGAGGGGAGGGGAAATCAGTCTCTGAGGGGAGGGGAGGGTTCACCGGATCACTGGATTAAGCCGGAATCAAATGTTAGATCGAGAAGAGACGAGAGGTTTGAAATCGGGGGAGAAAGACAAAATTTTAACAGGAGGAGACGTGAATGGGTCAGTGAGGCGGACTGGAAAGGCAGAATGGGACGGTCCTCTTCTACTTATCATAGGGTCGGGCATGTTTTCAGCAAGTATAGGCCTGGGCTTCCTCACATGGGCCCAGCAACTTTCCCCAATTCCATTAGAATTGACCCTAAGGGGCCCAGTTTATCTAAAGCTGCGCATGATAAAGCTCTTAAGCATATAGGAACAGTCGTTCCTCCTTCCTCTGGCCAAGGTGCTTCACACAGTGGCACTCC